TCGCAAGAATTGGCTGTTTATCAGGAGGAATGTTTGTCCTGAGAAATGATTCACCGGGCGACGATTCATTGTTTTTCGCAGGATTCACAGCCAGTAGGGGCGGTGATGCTGATAAAGTACGATGTGGAGCAAACACCAGAGCTAAGGTTGTACAGTTTCGCGATCAAGAAACATGGCGCGCCGACGCTTCGACTCGCGGCGGATACAGAAGAGGCAGCAGCTCGATGGACGACAGTCATCAAGGAGGCCATTGAGAGAAACGACCAAGTAAATGTCGCGTGTAAACTTGATGAGTTATTTCGTTACGTGTGTTTACGTAAGAGAAACCTGTTTAAAGAGGAAGCAACTGATGTTACTTTCCGTATTATGCACAAACATAAATTTGACAAAAAGTTTCTGGTATTTAAAAAATTTATATGTAAAAAAATTGTCAGTCAAATCTTCGTAATCAAATCTCAGGGAAAATTTGACAAATTAAAATGATTGATATGAATTTTGCAAATTGATAATTAACAGAGATATATATATTTTTTATAACCACCTATAAATATATTTTTCGAAATATTCTTACTCGAGATGAAAGGAATTTTTAAGGAATTTTAATGAAACGATAATAAAATCCGAGGCTTTGTAAGTTTAAGAAAACGAGATTCGTTTTAAAACTCTCCAAGTTTGGCTATCTGTTGGAACTTATTTGAATTTGGCTAGATTAGATATCTGGAATTGTTACGAAGAATTGTGTAGTTAAATTAAAATAGTTACGAAAATTCATAATAACACGAATATTCAAGAATATTAATGAAAATATTAATAAAAATACTTTAATCACTTTTGTGAGTCGAATCTAAGTTAAAGTTCACTCTTATTATAAATTTATACTTTTAACACCGATGTCTCCCTCTCATAACCTCTTTCTAACTATTAAAATTGTTTCAAGTATAGAACGAAAGACAAGACAAAAGACACTTGCAAATTTTTCTTTTCGCTCTTATAAAAATATTATTTAACACAACCTTCGAAAGTAAGATTCGTTATATATTTCTCCCTTTGAGATTCGATCACTATTATTTGATTCTCATTGCTTCTGATCACACATTTTACAGGTCGACACCTGGCTGGAAGCGTCGTTAAGAATGCGTGAGATGGCGGCGTGCGCCATTCACAGACCAGATTGCTTTGGGTATCTGAGCAAGCAGCAGGAACACGCAAGGAAAACATCTTCGCCAACCGGTTGGTCGAGGCGGTATTGCGTGCTGAAAGACGCCGCGTTGTATTTCTACGACGACGCGAATGCCGAGAAGGCGTTCGGTGTCGCCTGCCTTCACGGCTTCAGAGTGCACAGCAGCGCACCCACTTCTGGTGGCAGGAAGCACGCGTTCGAATTGCAGCCACCAGACCCCACGCAGAGGAGTTACATCTTCGCCACGGAATCAGAGATGGACAAGAAACGGTAACCTGTTTTGTAACCTGCTCGATCGTCATTTTATTATTATTTTTTTATTTATTGTTATCGTATCATACTTTTTACGTAATATGTTTTATATTACAATTTAATTATATATATATATATATATATATATATATGTTTGTTTTATTATTGTATATATGTTTTATATTACAGTTTAATTACCTTTTCATATCTTTTTGTTATTTTAGATAGATGATTATCTTATATTGTTTATATTATTATTATATTATTATATTATATTATATTTTATTATATTATATTATTATATTTTATTTATTAATAAATAATTTTATTGTCACGCTTAGAAATTTAATTTGCGAATTTGAAACTTAGGACGGTTAAGTCAATTGTGTTTGAATTTCAGGTGGCTCGCAGCACTCGAATATTCGATCGATCGATGGATAAAGATTGGTTGACAAAGGCCGACCTACCGTACGAAGAAGCAAAGAAGTCGAAGCAGCGAAGATCCTTTGAGATGTCCTTCGCCTCTTTCTGTTTCCGGTTCCTAACGAACATTGACGAAAATCACAAATTCATCGATCACCGTCGCCGTTATCACCTCGATCGTCGTTCGCAAATTCATCGCGTGGATCGTGTCGCAAATACTCTTCAAATTCGCGATTCGTCAGAAATCATGATGAGCGATTTCATTATCTATTATCAAATATTGTTTACCTTCGTAAAGAATTTTGAATTTTTCTTCTCATTCGATTAATTTAATCGATATCGATGATGACGTAATCTTTTAAATCCGTCATATTTTTCTCTCTTTTCCTATGAAGAAATGTTATTTTCTAATTGCAAATTTTCTTAAATTTAGTCAATGTTGTTATAATGTTGTTCAATTATATATATATCAAACAACATTGGATTAAAAAAATTTCAATTAATAATTAACTCTTAAGCGCCTCTTTCACAATTTCAATTTTATACAAATTTTGTGTAAATTTGATCCTTTATTGTATAAATTTCGATAATTCTGCTGTTTGTAATTTTTAAAAATTTCGTCACGTTCTTCTATAGCTGTTTATATTTATACGAATTTTTCGTCGATCTCGTTGTTGCCGGTGATTCCGATGCTCGATTCGTAAAACTTCGTCAATCTCTTAGTGTCACGGATCATTTTTTATAATAATTACTGATTGTCAATGGCGTTGCATTTATCAAAAATTCAATATTCGTAACGCAATTGATACTTGAAACAATGTTTCTCAAACATGTGTATTATATTTAAAACATTCGATAATATGCTGTTGATTTCTGATATGCTTTGTATATCGTTCAAAGTAAAAAAAAAAAAACATTGCTTATCTAAATAATTTTAATCGTAAAATAATTCAAAGGTAATTGATTTCGTTAAATATTTTTTTATTTTTGAAAAAAGCATTTTTTTAATTATTACAATAAATACATTTATAAAGTCACATTACGTGCACGATATTTCACTTATATATCGTGTAATTTTAAGAAATTTGCATAATATGTAGGCTATAAGATAAAATTAAATTTAATTTATTTAGACATTTTATATTCAATTTTTTAATTAATAATTAATCAATTCACTTTCACTGTCATTAAGACATTTAATACGATCTAGTGTTCATGTAATATCAATTAACCTATCATTAATATCGTCAATGATCACTGAACGAAAAAAAATCAGCTTCGAGATCCCTTTCATTTCCCTATCCAAATATACACGCACAATTTTTACCGTTTGTAATAATCGTTACTTTTTCGATAATGATGCTCACAAAACGCATAAAGACTTGAAAACATCGTAAGAAAGTAAGGAAACAGTAGCTACTACATCGTTTAAAATGACAGGGAAGTTGAGAAACACTGTTTCAAGCTAGTCCCAGTATCGAGTCAGATAAATCTTAATACAATAGAACTTCGTTTATCCGAATTTTATTCATTGGAATTGCTATTTGGAAAAATTTTATTTAATCGTATATTAATAGTAATAGTTATCAATTTTGTGAGATTAGTCGTTATCATTGAAAGGATTAATAATCGAATTTTACTGAGTTTTTATTATATTAATATAGAGATGATCTGTGCTTTTTATTAGGTTGTAGAAGATTTTATAACATCGTACGAATATTATTACGTCGCTAGATGTCTCGTCAATCGATGCAAAAATGGCTAATTCCTTAATCTTTGGAGATATTCCGATAAAAGAAGTTCTATCGTATTTATAATCTTCGTGATTCGTGTCTCGTGACTTAGTAAATTTTTGTATTGTTAATCAGCTTTTGGATTCTGTTTTTATATATACAAACGTTGCATACTTTATCGACACACAGGAATTGAAATCACACTCGACAAGCGTGGAACATCAAAATAAGAAGAAGAAAAAAGAAGCAAGGGGATGATGAGAATTGTTTATTCACCAACTGTGTCTTGTATTAAAATGATTACGATTACCGACTTTTTCTCTTACAGAATTAGGATTCGATTTAGATTTTAAGAGAATTTTAACTGTCGTCCACCGAATTTTCATTGGAAAATTTTTCTCATAGCAGAATCGAGGATACATTAGATCGATGCAAATGAAATGGCTGAATTTGAACGTAATTTTATATTTTCTGTAATTTTATAGGGAATAAATTTTTTTTTTTAATGGATGAATACAATTTTGAAAAACGTTAATAAAAAAGAATTCGTAATAAGAAAATCTTGTTTAAGCTTTAAATTTTCATAACTCAAGACTTTCATATCATAAATATTATAAATATTAATTGGAACGTTTAGCTGAATTCAAGTTTTGAATGATTTTACTTTTATAATATTGGCCATTTCATGTGCAACAATTTAATACATTTTCCAAAAACATTGTTCGTACTTCATTGTACACTCTGGTACAGTCAACAGACAAATATTTGAAAATTATTGTAAATTATTAATTAAAAGTTACATATTACCACGACACACAATAACAAACAGGATTTCCTTTATTATTCGAATTATATTTGTTTTAAAAATTTAAACAAACATATTGTGTCTCTAAAATTGAATGAAAGATTCATAAGAATCGTGAATAATTAACAATTTAAATTAAAATCCGATAAAAATAATGCAGTTATTTTAAATGAAATTTTTATTCGAAAAATGATTCTTTCCTTATGTAAATAGTTGAAGATTTATTCGAATAATCGTTAAAATAAAAAGAAATAAGAGAAGAAAATTCAAGAAGAGAAAATTTAAATATAAATTTTACAAACTTACAAAAAAAAAATATTAAAAATTTGATCATTCGAATAATTTTCAACCAAATTGAGAGAAAGATCATTAAAGAATAAAGCGCAAATAAAAATAAATCGAAAAAGAACCATCACGAAAATTCCCCTCGTGCGAAGAAAAATAATTTTTCGCCCAACAAAATTTGCTTTCTTCCGCGTGCTTGTTGTGTGAGTACGAACAATCCAACAATTAAATCACACGTGACCGTGTGTAATTGGAATTGCCGCCATTATATCGCCAATATTCTTACCGCCAAATATTTGTATCGATAAACCACGCGAACCGTGATCTTAGAATCAAGAAGAGGAATCAAAATAATAATCTTTCCTCGAGAAACGAAGAAAATAATTTCGAGAGTGATAATTTCAAGGGGGATCGGGGAACGAAGAGTATTTCAACGAAGATTAAGCGTGAGCGCCCGTGTTAATTGCGACAGAAATCGATAGATGTCGCGCGGAGAGCAGAAGAGGAACGAAGGACAGGGATACAATCCGAAAGTGCGTCCATAAGCGGCGCGAGGAAACGCCAGGAAAATTGAACGACAGACCGCTCAAAAAAAAAAAAAAAAGCACACAGATAATAAAATAGGAAGTTTAATACAATTGTAGAATGAAGTGCGTCAATTATTTACCTGTCACCCTTCGAGCTGGTTTGAAGGACGTTGGTTTTATTGCTGTTTAGATGATGCAGTGTCTTTTCCATAGGTAGGAGGATCCTCTTACCGCCGAGAAAGCCGGACAGCGGTCGCTCTTATTGACCAATATAGACATTTCTTTCTTGGACTCTGTATAAAATAGTTTTTATACAGATGTTCATTACAACTGTATTTTTTCTGGATATTCTTTGGATTTGTTTTATTGTGACTGAATTGGTAAATTAATCACGTAAAAAAAGAAAAAGAGAAAAAGAGAAAGAGAGAGAGAGAGAGAAAGAGAGAGAGAAAGAGAGAAATCTATATTCTTTTTATATTTGGTGAAAGAACAATTGGTTTTTTAAATAGAAATGTATTTATTATGTAATAGGGTGGAACGAAATAGAAGGAAAATTTTTATGCGCCATTTAAAATTCACATGTAATGAATAAAAGTTGTATTAATTTATTTTTCGTTTTTAGCAAATAACATTCAAATAGAAGAAATTTGAAAATTTAAACTGAAAAAAAAATATTTTATTAAAATTCATGTTTTATTAAGAATTTTATTTAATTTTGATCTTTTTCGTTCTACTCTAAATAATACAGTATACATATTGTATTAACAATTAAAAAATTAAATTGGAGTATTTGCAATGGAAAATCTATTAAGCCAAGTTAAGCACATTATTATTTATAAAAATTAATATTTATTTTTACATACATAATTTTACAATATATCATCGAGATCTTGATATGAAAATTTTATATAATTTTAAATTTTCAATATCATTCTATTATTTCATATTAAGACAAAATTTTTAATATTCTCAACCAATGGCCAATTAACAAGTTTCTTTGTTTAAACTTTTATAATGGATGTATGTGATTGTAATTAAGATGGGTAAAAAATGTCGATAATTATATCTTCGTTGTTGATTAAGTATTATTGTAGAATATTTGATAAAATTATTTAGAATGAATTATATAATTGAAATAAATTATATTTGTTTCATTCTATTGCAAAAAAATATACAAAAGAAGAAAGCTTTACAAGCTATAATGCTTTATTGTATTTTTATTATATTTTTATTGTATTTTTAAATATAAATAATTTTTAAGCAATTTTATAAATAGATAAAAACTTTAAGCTTTTATGAGTAATTTATTTAATTAACTGTACTACGTAATTGTATTATATGTTATTAATAATTTTTTTTTAGCTTTAACTATTATTTAAGAAAAATATTCCAAATTCAAATATATGATTCATTCTATATATATCAATGAAAAATCATTCTCTGCAAAATGAAAAAGCGCACAAATTCAAATTTGCGAATTTATTGAAGAAACATATTGGTTAAGAATTAAAAAATTCATAAATAAGTAAAAAAATAAATAAAACAAAAAATAAGAATATTAGGCTTTGATGATAATAATCTCATATAAAAAATAGTGATTTTTTTGTTTTATGAAAATCAAATCATAAAATTTCGAATTAATTTTTTGATTATCGTCTCAAATTCATAAAATTACACTAACATAATTTTTATTGAATGAAATGGC